GTGTGTGTGTGTGTGTGTGTGTGTGTGTGTGTGTGTGTACCACGTCCCGCTTTCTGCACAGCTGCAGCCCAGGTGAGAAGCACGGTCCCCGATCTGCAGGCGCCTACACCACACAGGCTCTCGGGAGGCTGCTGTGGAAGGGTTTCTGGGCGGCCAGGTCCCCCCCGCACGCAGGCAGACGCTGCCTTTGCTGAGCTCGAGCACCATGCTGGGGCTTGCCTTCTGCACAGTACCCAGGGTTCCGGCTGGGCTGCTGACATACACCCCACCAAACACGGGGAATGCTGACATTTTAAAAATGCATTCCGAAAAGACGGGAGGCCCTGCCCTGGCTTCAGACACTCGTCCCATGGTCCTTGGCTCGGTCTGCAGTGGCGTTGGAGCCCTCTTTCCCGCCTCTGTGTCTCACTTCCTCTGTCTCCTGGTCACTCGCATTTTGGGAAAGAACCAATCTCACAGTGCCAGATCTGGTGAATAAGGTGGACGAGGACATAGTGTCACTTTTTTTGTTTGTTTTTTTTGGTACCGGGAATTGAACTCAGGACCTTGTGCTTGCCAGGCAGGTGCTGTGGCACTGAGCTATATCCCTGGCCCTTTTTTTTTTTTTTTTGAGGCAACTTTTTTTTTGAGACAGCATCTGGTTATGTAGTCTAGACTGGCCTTGAACTCACTGTGTAGCCCAGGCTGGCCTCAAACTCGTGGCAATCCTCCTGCCTCAGCCTCCCCAGTGCTTGGATGACTAGGTGCACACCACCACACTAGGCTGTAATATATCTTTAAAAAAATCTAAGCATTCAGTCTGGGCGTGGGCGCGTGTAGTGGTGCACATGTGTCATGCCAGCCCTCAAGAGGCTGAGGCAGGAGGCTCGCTGTGAGTTCGAGGCCAGCCTGGGCTATACAGTGAAACCTGTCTCAAAGAAAAAAGGCAATGACCGAAGTTTCTGACCACACCTGCTCTCGGCCAGGCAGGTCTAGGCCCAGGCCAGTCTGTGCTGGGGGCTGGCCGGCGTCGCTGACCCTCGGCCCTGTCCCCCTCGCGCCCCCAGACCCGCTGGACACCTACCGCGCGCACGTGCGCAGGACCTTCCGGCTGATGCGGGACCGCAACGCGCGCCC